GTCATCCTATAATGTCAGGAGCACAATCAGGACTTATCAGGCCACCTTCTCCACATCACCGAAGACCATAATCTAGAAATTCTCCAATCCCCATTCCTAACATACATTACCTCCAAAATCCCGACCCATCTAGCAAATTCCCCAAAGGGTCGGGGGGGGGGTGGAATGGGATTTTGTTTTGTTTTCTCGGGGGTGGTGGGTTGAAGCGATATGGTACTTACTGTTGGGCTGGAAGAGGAGCTGTATTGTGGAGGTATTTGGGTGGATGGTAGTGAGCCACAACCTTTTAAGTATTTTTTTATTTTTATTTTTTACTTTCCACCTTTCGTTTTCCCCTCCAATGGGCCAGAGTGACGTGAGAAGGCGTCTAAATGGGGAGACGGGCAAAAAGGTTGGCTAGCCGGGTACGAGGCAGTGTGGGCAGTGTGTCCTGGTGGCCGGTCGGTCCCGATGCCCAGGCCGGAAGGGGGTGATGGGTGCCTGGGCCTTTCTCCCAGGACTCATCGTGGTGAGATGAGGTTGTGTGTGTGGATATCGTGTACCTAGCTATCTGCTCTACAGTACCTACCCATGTGAAATGTCATGACCATGAGCCCATCACGTTATCCAAGGTTTTGCACCCACTGCCCAGTCTGCCATGCCCCGATAGCCGACATTCAAAATTGTGTGCCTGGGCATCTGCGACAACACGACAACACAGCCTGGGAACATGTGCCTCGGTAGGCAGCCAAGGTCGCTAGACGACCTCGTTAAGAGAGGGAATAGCGCAAGTGGAGTCGCCATCTAGCTGGATGGATGCATGTCAAACGTCGCATGAAAAACGGCATGACGGAGATTCGGACAGGAGGCTCTTGTGGCTTGCAGGATGGATTGGACATGGTCAGGGGAAGGTGGGGGGTGGAAAAACGGGCTGGCTCGGGCTGGGCGGGCGGGTGGACAGATGCTAGATGGGATGATGGGAGGCTGGCAGAGTTTGGGATCGCTGCGGGGATGAAGGATGAAGGGTGAAGGAGGAAGGGTACTACAGGATGAAAGGATGGATGGATTGTCTTGACTTTTCCATGGCAGAGGGCGACTTTGTTTGGGCTCTCGGTTGTGCTACTGGTTTGGTAGGTAGGCAGGACAGGCGCCGCGCTTCTGGAACCACGGCGCGTGTCACTTCTGGTCGTTGGAGGCGAGGGAGTGGAGGGGCAATTTGTTGTTGCTGCTGTACTCTACCTACTCTGACCACTCTTACCTGCTCCAACCTAGCCTGTCAGAGATTCACACACGGCTGCTATTCGTTCCAATGTCAAGTGGAGTGAGATTCAATCATCGTGGAACAGGCGGCCCAGGGCCAGACTGTCTTCTTACTCGGTCGTTGCCCTCTTGTTTGTGCTTGTCCCGGTTCTCAGACGAGGGTGGTGAGGTGGTGGTGATTGGGTGAGCGTTTGGGTGGCCAAGTTTCGAAACGTTGTTTTCAGCCACAGTGGGTGTTTTGGCAGCCGTGTCTTCTCAGCGCATCGTGGGTGCGCCAGTCCCGATGTTTTGCACGACGGCCGGGAAGTCGGCAGAGACACGACATCTGGCCTGGCCCGGTGGGTGGCTGGGGTCGTTGTGTGCTGCAGACTGCGAGTGGACTACTCTACAGTAGATGCTCTAGAGTAGTAGCTGGTGGTATAGAGTAGTACTCTACTACCTAGGTACTCTACTTGACAGCACACATGTGATGTAGTATGTAGTAGAGTACAAGCATGTACTCTTGTGCCACTCCACTGTCGGCTGAGCCTCAGATCAGACTCGGTTTCATGGCGGCAACCATGGCCGACAAGGAGCCAATCACGGACAGCCTGCCCAGTCTGCCAGACTGCCACTGCCTGTTTCAGCGGGTACTGTAGTTCTGTACTGAGCAGGCGCAGAGGGCAGGGGAGGAGGAGGGAGGGAGGGAGGGAAACGAGGCAAACTCAGGGAAGGAGCGGAAGTGACCGTCTGACTGGCCGTCCACCTCTCCTTCCCTCTCTCCCAACGCCCCCCCGCCCATTCCCAATCCGGCCAAGCGCCACACTCCCCTTCCGCCCGCTTGTAGCCCGTTTTGGCCTCTGCCCACCCATCAGCACCGGCCCACCCGCAGCCAATCAAGGCCAATCAAGGCCAATCAGGGCCAATCAGGGCCAATCAAAGCCAATCGAGGCCAAAGTCAAGGCCAGTCCAGGCCAGTCAAGGCCAATCATGCCAATCACTTCCCCCTTCACTCGCCCATTTCGAGCTGGCTACTTTTTCGCTGGCCTTGCGGTCGCCCCCCCCTGCCCTGTCTGCCCTTGCCCTTGTCTGCCCGGCCTTGCCAATGGCCCCCCCCCTCCCATGTCAGGTCCCATGTTCAGGCCCATGACGGTCGGAATCGTTCATATCCACTCCTGTCCTCACCCATCCCTCTGACCTCACGTTTCTCCTACCACCACTACCACCACCACCGTACCACCACCTGGGGCGCCCGTTTTCGCTACTCTTCCCCTTGCACCCACCTTCTTCTTTTTTTTTCTTTCCCTCTTTTTAATTTTTTGATTTACCAGTCCCTCGCTCCGCTGTTCACTCGTTTCGACAGCTACCTACCTACCTACCTACCTACCTACCTACCTACCCCGTACACGCACCGCTCGCCCGCCATTCTTCAGTGCGTTTGCTATAGAGCCGCCTGTTGACCCGTTCTCCGCCCCATTGCCCTCAGTGCCCCTCCCCTGGTGAAAGCGTAATACATGCTATTGACCTCCCTCGTTCAATAACCGCCGCCCTGTTCAACGTACCTCACCTCTTCACCGTCACTGTCTGTACATTGTGAATTCATTCACTGGACTGGAAACAGACCGCCGCCCCTCGATTCAACTTTGGCTCCCTTGGCACCTCTGCACAACCCCCCCCCCCCAACCCCTCCCGACAACCATCATTGTGCATAGACAACCCTCCTCGACACCGCTACCACCACGTTGGATCATGTATTCACGGTGACACCCAGCAACAAAATCAACCCACATTGCCAATCGTGAGCCTTCGACTATCGACGCAAAAGCTCCAGTGGGATTGAATTGATTTGCGCCTTAATTTCCCAGCTCCAAGAATTATCATTCACAAAAAACTTCCCCCCTGGTAGTGAGTGCAACCGTCATTCACGGATCACGACGCATCAACAATCGCCAAGACTGCCCGATCGGCTCCCCTTCACCTTCCTCCCTGGAATCTATTAATCTCGCGCAACCTGTACGACACCACCACGATCACCTTACGAGACACTACCACCACTGCTACCACTACTACACATGGCTTCCTTCCTCCGCCCCCGGCGGGTGGAGCACACGAATCCCATCACCAACCATGATCTTGCCCGTCGCCATTTCCTCTCCGGCTGGGACGCCTCCCAATTCGACGACCTCAAGTACTCATACGGCCTCACGGGTGTCGACCAAGTCGGTAACTACCTCTGGGTCGACACCTTTCTCTACCTCCTCCTCGGCCTCTCCGCTCTACTCCTGAGCTTGCGCGTAGCGAACATGTGGTGGCGCCACAGCCGCCACCTTAGCGCCATGGGAAACCCGAACCAGTCGTATTGGACGACGAACAAGACGAGCTGGTGGCCCTGGCTGAACCGCCACATTCTCGTCGCGCCACTGTGGAAAAAGAAGCACAATGCCCAGTTCCAGATCTCGAGTGCCATTGACAATGGTACTCTGCCAGGGAGATGGCACTCGATTATGCTCTTCATCTACGTTGGCCTCAATCTCGCCTGGTGTGTCGCTCTCCCGTACAAGGCGCTCGACCACAAGGCGACCGTCGCCGCCCTACGTGGACGCTCTGGAACGCTGGCCGCCCTCAACCTCATCCCTACCGTCCTTTTCGCAATGCGCAACAACCCTCTCATCACCATCCTCCAGGTTTCCTATGACGACTTCAACCTGTTCCACCGCTGGGCCGCCCGCATTACCATTGTCGAGGCCATTGTCCACACCGTCGCGTGGATGTACAACACTGTTCACGGTGCGGGCTGGGATCATGTCGTCAAAGGCCTCCACACCGAAGGCTCCTACGGCTGGGGCATGGTCGGCACCGTGGCCTTTACTTTTATTGGCATCCAAGCATGGTCGCCCTTTCGTCATGCCTTTTACGAGACGTTTCTCAACATTCACCGACTCTGCGCAATTGCCGCCATGATTGGCATATACAAGCATCTCGAGCTCCACACCCTGCCCCAGGTTCCATGGATGTCATCTCATCTTCCTCTTCTGGGTCACCGAGTGGATCCTTCGCGGCCTCTCTATCCTCTACTACGGCTTCAGTCTCAAGAAGCGCTCCCGCATCACCGTCGAAGCCATGCCTGGCGAAGCCGTCCGCCTGACCATTGACATGGTGCGCGACTGGACGC